ATTTCGCCATCTAGGATTCTAGAGTTCATACCTCATTGTAGCTCTTTTTGCCTCCTCCATAATATTTTGTAGGCATTCATCTAACAGTGCCGTACGTCACTCTTCACTACCTTATTCCAATTTGCTACTTGACTATACTAACATCTTCATCGAATGTCAATATAGTAGTAATTCACAAAATTGGTTCAGGGTTCTTCTGCTCTTTATTTAATCTAAATAGGCTGGATTTGCAACAACTAGCAACAAGAGGTTTGACATAAGAATATGCTGGTTGGGTCCTGCTTTCAAAAAGGTGAAGGATTCTTCTACTTTTATACATGCTAGGCAATCGTCCAAATACAAACGGTAAATATATCATATATCGACCCACTCGTAATACCTCGACATTGTCTATAGTGGATTAAACATAAAAATTGCGAGATACCAGAGTTGTATCAGTTATCTGTCGCCACGGTTATGATAAATTACCTCCTTGTGACACAACTAGACCAAATCACGTGCAACTCAGGCGCGTTTCGCGAAATTGACGTTTGTAAAATGTGCGAGTGCGTTTCGCGTATCACGTGGTCGGCATCGTGGTGGTGAACGGGCGGCACGTCGCGCTGCGTTGCCACGACTACCCGACATTTCCTCGAAAATCTGGGATAGGCTTACAAATATATATTTTGATTGTACTTGGATTCTGGGTTGCTCCTGATTCTGCAGTATTGGGATTTGCGTAATGAGATAGCCCACCAACTTATCAGCGACTGCAGTAAATAACGAAACATTTGCACTCGCGGTTGCAAGACTGCCCTGCAAGATGTCTGACTGAACGTTGGACAGCTGAATTCGAACTCGCGTGGTTAGCCCAAATAAATGATTGAAAGATCTTTCCCCCGTAGCCCTAAACATAACCACTCAATACACATGCCACTAGACCAGCTTAGAGATATTTGTGTGTACTGGTAATATGTAGGATTAAATATTCCACGGGAATTCTTCAATCTTGCTCTTACAACACAACATTATTGCTTTTAATGTAACTCTCGAATCGTATCCTGTGGTTTTCTATGTTCATAGGACTCCATTGTCTGGCCGAATCCAACCTGTTCATAAATAGTCTTTGAAATTCATATGTGGGCTCCGGAACGCGGTTTATGGGGTCGCCACAGTCGACAAAGTGTACCCCCTCCCCTCCCGCTTTATCGCTACCGGGGGCCTCGTACGAACTTTGTGCTTCTGGCGTCATAGGTCCTAGATTCGCGACTGACTTGACCAAATACGCTCTATTCGTCTTTCCCCCAATGTAAGACCTATACCATACTGACGATTGCCAATGATCATGAAACAGCGTCGTATACAGCTACAAAGGAATTATATCAAATTAAGCATGTGATAATTTATTGAACCTTTGCATAATAAGTCTCAGCTGGTAGCACAGTGGACACTTAGTTTGCCACTAATTGACGAGTTGTCTATGATGGTTAACGATACTTCTGTTTAAGTATTGATTTCAGATGTGTCGGGAAGCTCAGGGTTTTATGTATTAATAATAACAATAGTTTGTCCGTGTTACAACTCAAAATGTGCGTACACAAGTCGGTTTTATACAAAAAAGATTTGTTTCGTGAGATCTCGTAGTGAATGGAGCGGAGACAGGTGGACAGGCGTTTATTCTCGAAGTTTTGACAGTTTCAAGTTACACCGGGAGTGGTTAGGTGACGCATCTTGAAATAAAAAGACCTGCCGTTTTTTATGCAATATATGTATATATCAATAAGATCTAACGTTTGATATCAGATATGCAATTTCTATATCTACAATGACCTCATCGTCTTCTACCTCCTCATTTAAAATAAGGTGGAATTTTCGGCACTGCGGAGACAAATTTTCATTAGTTTTTTTAAATAACATTGTACCCGGTACTCAACGGTGCTACGCCGTGGACTCGCGAAAAAATCCTTAAAATATACGGAAGCTTTATGTAAAGTAGAAAATAACTGACGAACCATAAAAAAATTACAAAGGTCAAAGTTGTGATTATGGAACTTGTCGGTGCTAAAGAGCTGTTGGCAATAGCAAATTTTTCATAATATGAATTCATTAAATATAAGAAACCTTATTTCATTGGATGCAGAGTATTATAAAATGTTATGCCGTGCTAGTTAATTCCATACCTCGTTTTAGCAAGTCTGTGTTGCTTCAGGTACAAGTTATCTTTGTATCTGTTGTTATATGTATGGAATTCATGGTGGTTTGTATAAGTGTCGGGATTGGATTTGATATACATGAGGCAACATTACCTACATATGGGTTGAATGTATAAGCTTCGGCAAATTACTTATATGTTCGCCTAGTAGACTGGAGCTATGGTATACCGTACTGATGATTGTTAACAAGCATGAAACGGTTTCGTATATGATAGGTCATGCACATAGATATGGAAAGCAAACGGATTCAATTCAGCCTTCCTCTATTTGACAGAGATTGTGTACTAAAGGGTGTTTTTTTTTTGGAGGCGGAGAACTTTGAATTGAAATAAAACACAAAATATTTTATTGATATTAACGAATTTGCTTTTATATTGAAGATAATTTTTTGGCATTAACATTTAAATATGATTTCGGGCATGTGACCCCCACGACTTGCGCGTACATGGCGTAATCTAGAGGTCCAATTTTCACACGCTCTTTCCAGTACTGCAGGCTGTATTTCGGCAATCACGCGCCGAATGTTGGCTTCCAAGTGCTCAAGTGTTTCGGGTTTATCAGCGTAGACATGCGACTTAACATAGCCCCAAAGAAAATAATCTAATGGCGTCAAGTCGCACGAACGAGGTGGCCAGTTTACAGGTCCATTTCTGGAAATGATTCGTTGCTCGAATGTCTCTTGCAGTAAATTAATTGTTTGGTGCGCTGTATGGCATGTGGCACCGTCCTGCTGAAACCACATTTCTGCAACGCCTGCAACACCTTCCAAGTGAGGCACAAAAAAGTTAGTAATCATGTTTCTGTATCGCTCACCGTTTACTGTAACGTTCTGACCATCAGCATTTCTGAAGACATAAGGACCACTGATTCCACCGGCCCATAAAGCGCACCAAACGGTTAGTTTTGCTGGATGTAAAGGTGTTTCGACAATAGCTCGTGGATTCTCATCACCCCAAATTCGGCAATTTTGTTTGTTTACATAGCCATTTAACCAAAAGTGTGCTTCATCACTAAACAAAATTTTCATATGAAATCTTGGATCAACAGCAATCTTTCCTTCCGCCCATTCAGCTAATGTACGGCGCAATAGATGATCCCGGGGTTTCAACTCCTGGACTAGTTGAATTTTATGTGCTCGCAACCCAAGATCTTTGCGCAAAATTTTCCATACAGTGGATGGACACAAATTCACTTGTTGAGAACGACGACGAATTGACACATTGGCATCATTATCAACACTACGCTGCACAGCAGCTATCGCTTGTTGCGTGCGCACTGTACGGCGTCTTACGGGATGCGTATTGTCGATTAGAGTAAAAGTATTGCGAAAACGATCAACAGTTTCTCGAATTAATCGCTCTGAAGGACGATTATGGGCACCATAAAATTCACGTAATGCCCGATGTGTTTCTCGAATTGAACCATGTCTTTCAAAATAAATTTGAACAATTTGCAAACGTTGCTCCGGCGTCAGTCTATTCATGATGAATTGCCAAACCAAACTAACCTAAAAACAACCCAGAACTGTCAGATCGGCTGTCACACAAAACAGTGTTGCCAAATGAAAGTTCTCCGCCTCTAAAAAAAAACACCCTTTATAATGGTTACTTCTGATTTCCTTTTGACTGTTGTAGCACAAATTACTCTTCTATATTGTTCAGCCTATTTGATGCCTGGTGATAGTTTTACTGCTCACAAAAATATACTGAGATAGTCTCCGTCAGGTATTTGGCACGCCAGCTGTGATTTCAAAGAAAAAACTGACATATATGCTGTAATTTTAAGTATGTAACACAAAATAAGTTTTGATTGACTTCGACTACCGCGTAATAGCAGTGAATGTTGCACCTATTTGGGTATTTAATGATTTTTTAACACTTCCTTGAGGTGAGGCGAAATATAATAGCTACAAGATTTGCCTCAGCTCAAGATAATTAAAAATAATTTTTAAGTAACTCAACTGATACCAGCTTCCCTGCTTGATAAAAAACTATTAATAAATATCAAAACGCGACAATATACTTTTCACTACAGTACCGAAGAAAACAAAGTTAATTAAAATCGGAAAACTAAACACGATACTTTTTCGCTGCAAAAAGTAATACTATAAATTATATACATACAGCATTTAGATAAGTCTTGTATGAAGAGTCAAAAACAACTCCACAGAGATAGTATTGAACGTTAGGATGCTGAAATTATCCGATGTTATACAATTTGTTTACTGCATCTTTGTAACCTGGCGATATGAAATGGCAAAGCACAAGATAAGTGCAACAAATTTTTTTCTCATTATACGATATTGTATAAGTACGTCAGTACATGCATATTATACAAGGGGTCAATTGTAAGAGCTCTATTTGAACCGGGAGGTTAACGCATAGTGATAGTGTTTTATCAAACATTCTAGAAATAGTTATCATGGTATCATTCAAAAACTTCATCATCAATATCACGTAATAGGTTGAGGATTTTATACCAAAAAAGGTGTAGCCAATAATAATAGAAGCTAAGGGTTGGACAAAATATGTGGCTAACAATACTAAACTTTTTTCTAAATCTCTAAATGACTCTTTAGAACTGTAATAATTTGCATTTTTAATTTATCTTGTAACAGAGAAAAAAAAAACGGATCCAAAGTGCTTATATTGGCAATATACGAGACCGGGTGCTTAAAAGTAGTGTGGGTAAGCAGAATTAACTTAGTGTATATACTTTCATATCCAGAATTTGGAAATATAAAAGTGTATAGGACGTGAAATTTGATATTCTAAATTGAAATCAAACCTTATACGATTGTTGGACACTAAATCAATTTTTATCTATTTAAGTGACATATGTATAAATTGACAAACTTGAATAAACAACTATGAACAGTTCAGGTAATTATTTTCGTGTTACGGTCTTTATAAAAAGACATGGTTCCTCATTCCTCTGTTCATTTTTTCCGTTGATGATAATAACTTTTTCAGATCATCGTGTTTTTTTTTTCAATTCCAATGACCCATTCTGTAATCATTATAATGCCTCATGACCAGTGATTACTTGATTTACGTACGACTGATTACCAGTAACTATTCAGTAGTCCCAGGTTAGAAGAAAAATCTGCTAGCGTCTAACAATTTATTACTGGTTAGCGCCATATCACTTAATGATGGCATTCAGTAACACATTACATTTATAGATAGTCTGATAATAAGGTCAATATTATACTTTATGGTGTATATTTAGATTACGGTGGTATTGCAAACACATCAGGTGTCGGACTTCGGAGGCAATATTTGTAACATTTGAAAAATATTTCATTATTTTTATTAAAGATATTTTCTATTGACTCAGTCATTATTTATTGCTATTTGTTTTATTGCAAGAATATAAAATATATTTATAGAATATAATAAAACCAGATTGTTCGCTAGAATATATCTGAAGTGTTTCCAAATGTCTTCAATATGACATACAATGCACCTTTTAATGTGTAGTCGGTCGATAGCTCCGTACAAAAATATAGGCAAACATACGCTACTTACTTAAAATATGCTGCTCTTTACAGCGCAATTCGTAACTACATACGAGACAACAGAAATATTATTTTTTCAAGTGGAATAAACTGTATATTTTACTATACTCCGAAAGAGAGAAGCTTGTTATAGCGTACTATCGAGCTTGGATAGCTCCTTCTGGAGCTACGGAGTATTTTGTCGGAAAACCTTGGCAGCTTATAAATCATTCACTTTTACACATACGGTAGCAAACTTTTCGCCAAAATTAGATTCATATCGCATGTTTTTTTATTTCAACGTTTTTTAATTGTCTATACAGGGTGTTCTTTTTGTAAAAAAATTCAAATTTATATGTTTATGGCTTTAGGTTATCGTATTCATTTTGGTATACATTTTTTATATGTTAAATCACCGATTTTTTGTAAAGTATTCGTAGTTTTCCAGGAGTTACAATTAAAAATAAACTCCACATGGTTCGTAGAAAATCTTCATTCTTCATTGTAATTACCTCTCACCTACTAAAAAGCCACCCTTTTAACGAATAAGGCATGATTGTGATGCCACGTAATTACGCCTTACCTTGTATAGAGCAGCATATTTTCCTAGTAAGGAGTGTATTCTTGACATTTTTTTTACATGGCAATAACTCACCCTATATGTATAGGCTTGAAAAGAATATGGACATATAAAAAACATTAATACCTTATATCTTTTTTACAATAGACGGTACAGTGGTTTGCAAAAATTTTTAAATATTACTTTCTTCCATTTTTTTCCGAACAGTAGAAATATCAATCTGTTCAGCTTCCATCAAAAAATTAACTTCGTATTTCATTCTAATGTTCCTTGTTATAAAGTTCTAATTCTTATCTTTGGAAAACAGATGGTTTTGTTGATTTTTAACTATCTGCTGCTAAAATCCTCAAATGGATATGTCACCTTATATTGAAAGTCACGAAAAGTAGGAAAATAGTCTTTTGGGAACAACATGTGAAGTTCTTTTGGTTTGAATTAAACATGGGCTTTTGGAGCTTTTCCTATAATTTACCCCAGTGATCCATTCTGTACTTTTAAACAAGCTGCCCTGGCTGCCAGAACATCAATAAATATCTCTGATCATTCAATAGGAGCATACAATCGGAAACCAAGTTCAGCTTATATCCAAAATTTGTGTAACATTCTATTCTATAAGGTTACTTGGGAATTTTATAACATATTTTCTCGAAATATAATATTCGCGATGGCAAATTATAAACAAAAATATACCGATACAGCAGACAAGTGCAAGAAAATTGCTGGAGAGCTTTACAGCAGAGAACTTACGATGTCATTAATATTTGCATTAGATATTCGTCCTATAATAATCATGCTCATATTGTCTTTGTCTTGAAGGCGAGAAGAGGATTTGGGTCTATTAACGGGGGTTTCGGCCGTAAAAATATCTTAATTTTCAAGTTGATCGCAAATATCAAATTTTTGCATTTAAATATTGCATTTTAAACTTTCATCAACATTTTTCTTTTTATTTTAGTACCTGATGGTGTTTTAAAAGTTCATAGTTCGCAATTTTGGCATTTTTCTTTAATATAACACAATAAGACAGAATGTATATTTGCCCAGCATCCATCTTCAAATTATCAACTGTTGTAATGATGTCACAATCCCTATTTTCAGCCTGCTTGAACTTGACCCGTTCAGAAAATAAGCACTGCATAATTGTTTTATATCTTTGTTTTATGATATGGGTAGATTTGAATTAGAAAGTTTGCGACCATACGCTCGTATAAAAACACTAAGTTAAATATCTGAAAATGGGAAAATTTTTGCCAATAATGCTAAAATTGCCAACGTTCGGCTTTTAAAAAACAATCAAGTACTAAAATAAAAAGAGTAATGTTGAAATTTTGATGAAAGTTCAAAATATGTACGAGTATATTCACTGAAAACCAAATACCGCTGACATCGAAATGTGTACGAGAGAGAAGCACGAGAAGCGGGCAATACGGGTGCTAGAAAGAGACAGAAGCACCTCGTTTCATAGCAACCCAATTGACAAGGCGACGGACGCCATCGGTGCACTCTTTCTAATATACATATTGGTCGCTTCTGGCGTTTGTCTCTCATAGACATCAACCACGTCAGCCAAATTTGAACCTCACCGCATGTTCTGAAACATTTAGATGCAAACGTTTCATAATTGCGATCAACTTGAAATGGGTTATTTTTAGGGCTTATAAACTGATATCTTTTGCTTACCTGTATAAAGGGAGATTATATACGAGTATAAGATTTGTCACGCAACGTGCGTCCATCTGGAGATGATTTGACAACACTGTCTCCTCTTTTACCAAATCAACACGTTCACAGTCCGCGTTGTAGGAGAGAGTAGGGAGAAACTACACCGCACATCATTGACTATGTAGTAACATGGTGAGTGTAACGTGATTATCAACATTTACGATAACTAACGCGCTCGAGATAACCGCGGTATATATTCAATCTATCATTATCTGCGATTGATTCTGGAAGAGTGGTGCCGGAGTACACACACACACACACACTTCCGAACGAGACTTGTTACAAGAGTGTTGTTTCCGAATTTTCCGGGTGCTTAGACTCGAGTCTTCCGGGTGTTTCTTCGGAGGGAAACATACAGTTTCCCTCAAACGTACTTTTCTTCCGCAGTGGGTTAGAATGTAAGAATGAGATATATTCGGCATTCCAAATTCAATCGGTGATACCGGAGGCTACTAGTAGTGTTAAGCCCGATACACCCTCGGTGGTTACCTCCGATAACAAGGAGAATAAGGATATCAGCAATCGCAAGGAAAGTGACAAGGAGGAGGCAAGTGTGGTGCAAGTGAAGGAGAAAGAGGTTGAACAACCTCAACTGGAGAAACGGAGACCGGTTGTGTCGACCTCTAGGTTGTTCGGGGCTGACAGAGGGTCTGGACCCAAGCCGAGGATTGCTACCAAGGAGATATTCGGACCCAGAACAGAGGAGATGAGCAAAGGATATCTGATGTTCTCAGACGATACGCCCGGCTTGACAAGTAAGTAATCTTCTTCGGTATCTCAATCAGTTTTATCTTGAAATTACATGTCTAGACTGAATGAATAATCGGAGATTAGTGGGAGGATTTTTGTATTTAGCTCAAATTCAAATCGATGAAATTATTTAAGACTGGTTCCCACTATCGTTAGTACACCGAGCTCGAGCATATTTATTTTAAAATTAATTTCTAGTTCCGGTCACATTTACTGGTTTTGGAAAAAAAAGTCATCCATTGTAGTTTAGTCTAACATTCATCGTTTTCGAAAAATAACGCGAAGCCTGACACAAGAAAAATCAACTAGTTGCAAAGTTTCGGTTAAGTTACATGATTTTTGATTTTATCAAACTCAGTCTTCTAAATAAGTTTAAACATTTTAATGCAATCTTTTAATGCTTTTCAAAATTAAGTTATTGCTAAAACTTTGTTTTTTTCTCGTTCATATATTACGCGTACCAGTAGTTTGGACGAATATTGAAATATATTTCATTAATTTTATTATTTTACGTTAACTTTTAGTACTTTCATGTTGGGAATGATAACCCCTTTCAGCTATGGTTCCGAGACATTTCAAGTATACTACTATCCATTTTTTCAATGTACTCTCGCGTCCACATTTTTAAAACGGTATAAATTAGGTAGAAAGTAAATGTTGCCATTTTATCAACTTTAATGCTACAGATTGCTCTCGTACTTCACACAATTTGCCATTAACATACATCCGTCAATGTTTGTTTAATTTAAATTTATCGCTTTATTATTGACTATTGCATGAATTTGCTTTATTTGTATAACAGTTTGCATGCATGTAGATTTGATTTTGATTGAGTTTTGATAGATGAAATTGACAAAAAATCGACACAATAGCCAAGTAATCAGAATTGTTTTTACTACAAGAAAGTTCAATATTCTGCGTTGATGGTAAATAGGAAATCATACTACATTTCGCATAGCTAGAGCATTTGAGGCGTGGAAGGCTTTCGTACAATAAATATAGTATATACGCTGAGTAGGCTTGTATAGAAAATAAATTTCTGCTATTCAAAATAAAACAAGCATTTAACGAAATATTATGACCAAGATTGCTTAGAATTTTTATTGAAAAATTGTGGCATAATTCCTTTTGACTATAGTAACATTCTGGCATCACATTTCCAACAGTTTGAAACAGACAAGAGCATGCGGAGTGAAGAAAACATATTCAAGCAAGGGTAAAACCTAGTTGGGGATATGGGTCCGCTGTTTCAGCAAACTCGTGGTTTCTGACATGCCCAGATCGCACAAGATCTTGTTTTGTTATGGATACCTTATGATTTGGGGTTACTGTTTTTTTATTGCCTTGTTTGCGTTTTTCTTAGTTTTGCTGCAACTTTGAATAGTTGGTATCAATTGAAAAGATTAAAGTCAGATAACCGTTTTTATTAACTTTGCTGTGTACTAGTTTTTTTTATTGTGTATACCTATTTGTATTGCACTCAGAAATGTCAGATTCTTATAGTTCAAGTTAAGTATCCGATTCGAGTAATGATGAAAACATATTCTTCATACTGCTTCATAATCGAAAAACATTAGCATTACGTAAATGTAATAGTACCTCTTTACAATGGAAGTGAATTCATGGAATATTTCAGAGTGACTCGCTAAGTGGCTGAAGATATCTAACTAAATACGAACCCAGCATGTTTTTCAAAAAGGCGACTAGATGCAATTGGAAGCTTTATGCTTATGAGCAAACACACACTCATCTTTTTGTGGTTCGTAGGACATGAAACGTCATTTCGTGATGTAGTCGATAGATTTGATATAACGATTAGTTGTTTAGTTTACATAACCAAACGTGTAATCAAATTCTTGGGCAGTAGATCTGGAACTGCAATCCAATGGCCTAACAATGAGAAAAAAGAAACAGTAGAATTTTACTCAACTACTCAACCGTATTTTGACTGAAAAATGTATTCTAGCAGAATCAAAGTTGAAACCGTTTGCAACTAGTTTTTTGAAAACGCATGCGCGTTGAGGTAGTTCACAATCGTGTGTCAAACCGTTGAAAATGTGATCCTAGGAAATTCCGTGTAATGAAAGCTATCAGTTGAAAATTAGAGAAGATGTACATATATCCAATTCTAATCACGCAAATTTAATAAAAAGTTACGCTGTTTATGTTGTAATAAAATACTGCCATAATTAAGTGACGAGCTTAGCTTAAGCAAATTTATCTTCCGACATGTGGATCATCTGACATTATACTATCGCGATAACAAATCTCGTCAAACAATTTTAGTATTTTTATTTTTCCACTGACTGTGGCCGATCAAGCGTTTGATCGTAACGCTGTTAACCTTGATACTATGCAAAAATGCAATCATTGGTTACGCTGGGTTAAATGAACTGTTTTGTAATTCAATTTTATGCGCAATTTTCCATTTATTTCTTTAAACTTTCCTGTTTTTTACGCCATACCGATAGTTTGACATCTTGTTAGATCGGAATTTGCATCATAATGAAATTCGAGTTATTAAAATTATACTTGAAAATTTTTGAATGCTTCAGAACTAATAAATCCCTGATACTGTGCACGTGCCTTTCACCAGAAGGGATGGCGTCAAGTACATTGACTCGGTACTCGATCGTTAACGTTAAATAAAAACATGCGGTTTGATTGAGGGATATTGTTTCGAGAGACCTTTCAAATTATTCCTAAACGTCATTTCCTTTCGTTCCTAGAATTTTCAAGTTTTGCGTTGTTAAAACAGTCATTTGTAACAGTAAGGTTTAACTATTTTTCGTGTACGTTGTTTAAGCTTGTTTATGTAGCTAGATTTATGATGGTGTTTATGTCGTAAACTTAAATCCTGCACATTGTTGATCAGAAAATTTTCATTAAGATATTATAGTTCTTAATTAATCGCCTATTTGTACGGATAGCCTTCAGTGTTATTTACATTTGGTTAGCGACAGGTGTGTAGAATCTGCACGCCAGTCTAATGCCAGGTAATTTGGCATTGTGGACACATGACAACAAATTGATCAATGTCTCTGTTTTAGGTTTCAGACTACATTGATCCTTTCATTATCCATACACGGTATTTTTGTTTGCTTTATTCCAAATTTCTCTTAGTAGCATTGTTTATTCCAAAGATTAGGTGCATTTGGAAACAAACTCAGTATGGCTATTTGTCATCCAACAGTGTCAATGATATAAGATCTGATTTGTCTCCAACCTCCAAAGACTGATCTAGACAGTACTGACGATTGCTAGTAAGGATTAACTAACGTTGTATGCGATTGATCATAGTCACAGAGACGGAAAGCAAACATATTCAGTTCAGTCTATTTCTATTTTTGTGTAGAATACCACTGGCTTTGAAACTATCACGTATTGAGACTGCTTGACGGGTTGCCTTTTTAATGATGGTAGGCGGCTTCTACATATACCTGTACGTGTATAATACAGAATGCCATTCAGCATAAGCCGGAGGTCGTAGGGACTTTCTGACATTTTCAGAGTATCACGCTTTGACAAAATATCTGTTGGTGGAGGTTGTGAAAGTTGTAATCTCTTTGCGCATAATTTTTTTCAATTGAATAGTTATTTGCTATTATTTGTTTATTATCTATCACATTTGTATAGTATGTTTACAATCTACGGGCACAACAATTCTAGGTGCAATAAAATTTGTTCTGTGTATTACATAACATTTATAATACTTATCGATAACCTGTATCGATTTTATACAGCATTCGGCTTTTATTAGCTTTGAGATACCGTTGTCAGAGAAACTGCCACTCTAAATATAGTTTGATGTCTAAGATTCTTGAAATTTTTCTGCACTTCGTGTGAGAGTAAGGTACGTGTATCTTACATTTTAAGCTCATTGTAAATTTTCACAAGATTTAGAGCCAGATTATATATATATATATATATATAATCTGGCTCTCTCTCTGTCTCTATATATTTATAGATGCAACTTATTTGGTATTCTCATTATTTAAAATAGGCCCTAATATCATAAATACCTGTAAAAATCTCAAAAGCTTTCTCGTGACAAAAAATTACGAAAAAGTGTATGAATGTTCCGCTCTCGGTGTCGTTATTCAGTAAACTATTGTGTCGCCTCTCATGGAAGTAATTTTGTAGACAATCGAAGTATTGAAATATTTATAAAAGTGCATTAATAATTTCACGGTTAATTTGTGTTTATATCAAAAAACGATCGAACGCTACGACAGATTGGATTGACGCAATGGTTACAGTTATTTTTCATAACCCGTGCCATTATATTAATTTAGTTTCATTTATCGGAGTTCATTATTCGCTACAATAGTCCAGTTGCAAGGCCATTTACGATTTAATAACGATTTTCATTAAGTCGCCCTATTTATATAGAGGAATGATTTCGATATTGATTTATTCTTCAACAATCGAACAGTTTTTATAGCAAAGTCATTTATTACAGTCACAGTTACAAATTCAATTCAGTTCAATTCAATTCAATGGACTTTATTGTAACACATACATAATTATGTATCCTTACAAATGGCGAAGTCTGGCCAATGGCCATTTATACTTAACCATAAATGTCAATGCTTATTACTACCTTCAAAATAAAATAAAAAAAAAACTGAAAAAGAAAAGGAAAAAGAAGAATAATAGTAAAAGAAGAATTAATAAATATGACATAATGCGTACGATTAGAACAAAAAACATAATACGTACGATTCAAAGAGAGGACAATAACCTAAGAGCTCAATAAGTAGTTTTTATATTTTTTTTTAGAAAAGTTGCTGATGAAACATTGTTCGAAAGAGTTGATCAATTTCACCGCATTATACGTAAAAGACCGTTGAAAAATGGCTGTCCTATGTTGTGGCATTGTCAGGAGATTAATGTTGCGCGTATTCAAATTGTGAATTAAATTCCTACGAACAAGCTTTTGCATAAGATAAACGGGAACAGAAGTTTTTAATATTTTTACGACAAATGTAACAAAGTTGTATTTGAAAAGATCAGAAATTTTCAACCAATTCATTGAAGATATTGAGTGAGAAACATGATCGTACCTTCTTAAATTGTTTATGTAACGACTACATGAGTTTTGAATTTTTTGCAGTCTGTATTTTGTGATTTCATCCAGACAGGGATAATAAACTATGTTGCAGTAAGCGATTTTACTGAGTATGAGTGACTCGCATAACATTTTCTTAATTTTTCTATTTAAAACAGTTTTACTTGCATATAGAAGCCTGAGTCTAAAATAACTAGACTTACACACATAGCCAACAAATAACTTTTCTTTCCTTGTTGTGGTTGGCAAGCCAAACATTCACAAAATTCTTATAAGTAATCTATTCAAATTTGGTTAACAGAATTACCATAACAATACAACATTAGAAATATAAGCAATCAATATTTAAATCATTACGTAGAAAGTAATTCGTCTAATTCATCTATATTTTGATTTAAACACTTTGCAATTTATAATATATAATAAGGTGATTTTTTGCATTCGGGAATTACCTTCTTTGGTTAAGCCTGAATCGATGCATTTTAATATCTAGGGTAAACCAACAGTCATTGACATTGTGTAACTAGTAAAGTTAATAGCTGATAATATTAAGCGACCGTCTTTGTTAATGGATAAATACTAGCTTACGAATACAATCTCTATTGTACTAAACTAACTGACCTATAATTTTAATATAAAATACTTTCGCTTTCGTGCCTGCATGAGATTCCTGGAAGACATTTGTCTGTACTAACTGAATAATTCATAGACCTTTTGATCTATATTTATTTCTGAATATAGAGCACTTTTACTCGTAAGCCTTATCTTTATTAACATGTTTGTTATGATATCGTGTTCATTCGTTTATTTCAATTTCGTTGTTATCCACTAGCATGTTTTGTTGTAATATATCTATTTGGATTTAAACTATATTTTGTAGTAGCGTATTTGGAATGCACTGAAAGTTGTCCAAGTTACTGATTTTTAGTACGTGATTTTAAATAAATCTTTGATTATTTTATTTTAAGGATAATATTTCTATGTCTCCATTCTCTGTCCGTTTCTTTCTTCCATGGGACTAGCCGAGTCGAAAAACTCCTAGTCTCATTGCCTCTGTGCACTTTAAGTTTCATTATATAATGGAAAAAACTAGTTGAAGCAGAGTTCTTCTAGCATGGCTAAAGCTGCAGAGTTATGGACGTGTAAAGTAAATGATGTTAATCAATAAATGCTTTTTTTTTTATTTATTTTTCATATTTTTTTCACTCAACATGCGAGCTTCGATTTAGATAATTTTTTTCGTATATTTCCACGTCCCTCGTTTGGCGAACTTGCCTATTATTGCGTGAGCTTACGTGATGTGACAATAATGTATTTCCACTTTGATATTTCTTTGAGCTTGATTGCTCTATAGGCGTCAGTCTACAAGGTAAATACGTGCTCTGTTGAATAATTTGTATATTCGCTATCCCTAAACCCTAACTTGAATGCATAAATATAACTCATGTAATATGAAAATTAATCATTCAACTTGTCATGTATGCTACGAGAGCGCACTGTAAATATTTTAATTCTTTATAATCTCCCTTAGAACGTCGAGTAAAAACGTTGACGAAAGCATTTTTTCCGGTATTAACACTCTTGGTAAAGGGCGTATTAGGGTTTTACGATCCTTTGTTCCGAAGAGGAAAATGGGGACGCTGGGTCTAGTAGAAATAAAAAAAACGGCTTTAGCGACTACGTCAGATAAACGATTGGTTTGTATGAAGCATTACGCGAACTTACACAAGCGAGGGATGTATTATTACCGAAGAAAATTTCAATATGAATATATTTTTTGGAAGTTGCATAACGGATGTTGATAAAGTTCTGTCACAAGATTGTCAATATGGTAACAAAGTATATTGTATTGTAATCGTGCTAATTTTTGAAAATTGGATATGACGTTATGTAGGTGCTACGTGACGTGTATGTACACACACATATCGGAACTTCGCGCAATCTAATAGAGTCTCTAAATGGGCAATACTTGTGCCCCGGCTATGTAGTTTGGATATATCTGCTATATCTCGACTATCTCTTGGCAAAATTGTCTGCAGTGTGTAGACACATACCTGGTCAGAATTTCTACAAAATCAGGCAAGAATGGCTGACGAAATTGTGTGCGCATCGCGGCAGCTCACATTACTTAAATTACGTTAAGTAGGATTCCAACAATTTGGCAATCTGACAACAATTCATGAAAAAAAATCGCAAATGTCAAAGAGTATATCCAACCTTAGAAGCGCCATTATAATCCTGAACTGCGCTTACATTAGTCCACCTTTCTACAGCAGGAAGAACCTATTTGTCTGTCTGCCATCAGATTTGGATTGTAGCTTTGACACAACGTTACTGCCGTGCTAAGATTAAAAAAGTTTTGTACTGAAAACATCGTTTTTCGGATTTCTGATAACATTTTCGCGGAGTTACATGACTTTTGAGAGGCTGAAATTTAAAAAAAATCCAATACCCGATTCTAAGAAATTCCGACCCTTGAAATGTCTCAGTCGCCGTGACACCACCGTCATACATATGATCCGCTATGATATCTTTGACATCCGATTCTAATTTCGGTATCATCATTATCAACGCGGTCTTGAGAGGTTGAAAAACATGAAATTAGGCGTTTTTCATGTTTATCTTATCACTTTTTCAAGTATTCTTATTTTTAAACCGACCATCTTGATTCTAACCATATTTTCTCTATTGCTGCAGTGCTTAAAGACGAGCCGGACGATCTGACTCACCTGGCTCCAGTGGCAGGTGATGTTTGCGTTCCCCTCGACGACCACCCCTTCCTAGCCGATATGCTGGACGACATCCTGCTCAAGGACAACTTGGCACCCCTCCTCGCTGATGAGCCTACCGATCCCTTTATAGCATACAGGGAACAGGAACCGTCTCCACAGCTGCTGTCGCCCAACATGTCAAAGGTCAGTTGGAAAAAGTTTGATTTTCAGGTGTTCGTGTAAACGTAGTAATGCCATGCACAGTTGTTTCGTGCTTTTGGCAACTCCTCAGCATGGTAGGACAACGAATGGAAACTGAGACAGTTGTCTATTATCCAGAGTATAGACCATAGGCCATTAAAAATTGACATGTTAGACACTGAAATCTGAAGTTCCTTTTTTGTCCTCTATTTCCCAATCTCCCTAAAGTTCGTAATTTTTGGGAGAATAAATCTATTCTAGCCTGATTATAAAAAATACTATTTTTTAATGCTACATAAATTTATGAGAACTTTTCCTACGTGTTAATATACAGTGCATTTCACCTACCCTCCAATTATTCTTTGAAAGAGTCAGGTTACCAAGTTGATTTGGGGTAATTAAATTGTTGCATAAATACTATATTTTAGCTTAATAGTGTCTATTGAAAAGCACAAAATGTTTTTGTATATTGAATCGTTTATAACTACTCATCAGTAGTTGGTTATATCAGTCTTCTTTTGGAAGGGTCTCTCTGAATGCGCACTAAAATATGGTGTTCCATTAAAAATAAATGACATATTTTGACGTTTTTTCAATTGGAGTGCTTTAGTACATATGTATAAGGTTAAAAGAAGAAGAAAATTCATATAATATAGCGTTCTGATGATTGGCTGTTGAGCTATAGGCGATTCACTGTACAAGCATTCTCCATTCCTGAAGTACTTATGAGAATCTTCAAAATGATATATCACATCACCATATTGAAGATGGCGCCCATCCGTCATTTTACAATTTTCAACTACCACTTTAATGCTAAAACGTAGCATTCTCGCATTTTGTCAACCCTTCTTGATACTTTGACATATTAACATTATTATGAGCTATATACCTAAATTAAAATTATGAAGGAACAGATAATATAAATATTAAAGTCTACCTTTGGCCTCTGTACTAATACAAGGTTTATCTTATCAATATTCAAATTATCTGAAAATAAAAACCGCGTTTTTTTAAACACCACATTTTTTGTAACGTCAAAAGTATGGAAACATTTCAGTTTTGCTGTATTTAATCGTTCTCCGATACTCTGATATTACGTGCGGTATCAGTGAGAGTGGCAAAAGTGAAAAAAATTTCAAAAGATTTAAGGGACAAAGAAAATAATTGAATTATTTAGAAATGGTGTCAGAAATATTGACATTTCTCAAAGGTTAAAAATGAAAAAGGGACGATTTAGAAAATTATTAGTAAATATCAAGAATATGGATCAACAGATGCGGAAGACCGAAAAAAAACAGATTATGTTTTGGATCGTTACATTAAACGTTTGTCCCATGAAGATCCTCGAATGCCAGCCACACAGATTTTCAAAAGAATCGTATAAGAGCGCGTCGAGAATCTTTCTGTCAGAACAGTGCAGAGACGCTTGGTGAATTTGCTAAAACTCATTTAACTTGGACAGTACAACAATGGAATACAGTTTTATGGAGCGATGAAAGCAAATTTAACTTATTTGGATCTGACGGTACGGCATATGTGAGACGTCCAATACGAAAAAGATTTGACAGAAAGTATCCAACAGTTAAGCACGCTGGACACAACAGCATGGTTTGGGGATGTTTTTGTAATTCTGGAACGGATCCAATTAAAATTGTTTGGAAAATGGATCAAAAACTTTACAAAGATATTCTTAGTAAACACATACTCCCTTTTGCAGAAGAATAAATGCTTTTACGAGGGACATTCCAGCAAGATACTGGTGTTCTTACATGGCCTTCGCAAACCCTGGACCTAAATCCTATAGAACATCCTGGGAGCATGTTAAAAGATAACTGACAAGAAAAACTTTTAAAAATAGGAACGATTTATTTGATTATGTGAAAAATGTTTGGCAAAATATCCCAACAGACGTCTGTAAAAAATTGGTGTCTTCTTTGAGCAGCAGATGTCAGGCAGTGTTGAATGCTAAAGGCTATGCTACCAAATATTATCTAAACAGAACTTTTTAAATCCTTTTGTAGGGTTATTGTATTTAATTTTGTAATAAAAAATATGTTTCCATACTTTTGTCGTCTCATTTTTTCATAAAATAATATGAAGATATTTTAATGTTACTCTGTAGTACCACAACAAACACAAATTGTCATTTGTATCCTCAAGACTAAGCAAATTATATGGAGAAAAAAATAGTCCTTAATAATAAAGAATAAAAAATTAGCGCACTTTTTAAAAATTACTAAGAATGTTTCCAAACTTGTCCGCCACTGTATATCAATTGAGCACAATTTTACTCATTGTAATAATCTGCCAGGACTTGAATGAGACCGCTCAAAATATGTAAGGTTCCGTGCTAAAAGTGTCAAGAACCTGCTTGCCAGTTCAAACTAACTATAAAAAATAACGGACTGTTCCATTTAGAGTTAATAACACAAGATGGGTTGATAAGTCAAGGAATATCAGGCATACGCGTCACAAGCAATCAAATCGTTAACTTTTATTAAAAATTATGTTTATTTTCCTTTGAATATATCGTCTGTTACATCACAGTATCGCGGGCTCACGTACAGACGACATGTGAATCATCAACTTACTATGTGTGCTCTTAATGTTGATTATGAAAACTTGTTAATGGATCACGTGTTTATTATATACGTAGTCATGCCGTAAGTTCTGTCCCTCGTTTTCAAACAAGTGTAGACCTGTTAATACTTGTCCGATTGTTTACATTGTGGTGTCAGTTGATTAAGCGCTTTTCGGGTAATTACATATACCTCAGTTTGTATTGATCTCTCGAAGCATAACGATGGAGTGGGGCAAGGCAGAGAACCGTATTGCAGTGATAGCTTTACATAAGTGTAATCACAGTGCTAGTCAGATTTTTGAACTCTTACGCGGCCTTCAAATATCGCGTAAATTTGTGTCTAGGACCATTCAGCGGTACAATGAGACGTCCTCTGTTGATGACAGGCCAAGAAGCGGAAGACCTCGTCAAGTAAGGACTCCAGCAGCCATCAAAGCCGTAAAAGCCAGGATTCAAAGGAATCCACTCCGGAAGCAGAAGATCCTATCCAGGGAAATGAAGATTCCTGTCCGGACGATGTCGCGCATCATTAAACAAGACCTAGGGCTAGGGGCTTACCGGAGACGTACGGGCCAGCGACTTACGGCCACCTTGCGACACATCAGGGCGACAAGATCCAAGAAGCTCTTGGAGAGGTACGCAGCTGGGGGATTCCGAAACATTTTGTTCACGGATGAGAAAATCTTCACCATAGAAGAAAAATTCAACCGACAAAATGACAAAGTGTATGCAAGGAGTTCACAGGAAGCTTCGGAGATCATTCCGAGAGTTGAGAGAGGCCACCACCCTGCGTCAGTCATGGTTTGGTGGGGGGTGTCCTACGAAGGGGTCACTCAGCTCCATTTCTGTAAACAGGGCGTGAAAACAAAAGCGGCAAACTATCAGAGCGACATACTGGATCCTATCGTCAAGCCTTTAAGTGGTACATTGTTTGCCAACCAACACTGGGTCTACCAGCAGGATTCCGCCCCCGCTCACAAGGCTAAGAGTACGCAGCGCTGGCTGGAAAGCAATGTGCCAGAGTTCATTGCTGCGGAAGATTGGCCCTCAGGGAGTCCGGACCTCAATCCTTTAGACTACAAGTTGTGGGACCTGCTAGAGCAGTTGGCCTGCTCCAAAGCCCACCGTAATATCGAGTCCCTGAAAGCGGATTTGATCCGATCAGCGGCAGCTATTCCTTTGGAAGCTGTGCGTGCAGTGATAGATGAGTGGCCCGCGAGATTGAAGCAGTGTGTGAAGGCCAAGGGGGGACATTTTGAATAAAACTGTTTGATTATGAATTCTAAAAATGTTGTCGAATAAATAATATCTTTCATATAAATATATCTTATCTTGTTTCATTTTTATCATGAGATTATCATGGGGCAGAACTTATGGCACGACTACGTATACTTAGTAAAGGCGGGTTATAACATATTACATAAATGTAACAAAATCTATCTTAAAAAATGTCTGTATACAAGAACTAATCGTCTAAGGTCTAAGAGCATGCGTCAGAAAATAAATACATTGAAGATGAAATTTTTTTGCACTGCAGGTGACGACGAGGCTTAGCAAATATTAGCAACTGTTGTCATCTTACTTTCAAGGTTTCCTACATATCAGTTGGCGACCTTGGACTGGTAACGTCAACATAGTAAATGAATTATATTTGACTGCCGTCTGTTATTGATCACTAACAAAAAATCATCGTGACCCATCTAGGATTTGCTCTCATTAAGAGAAAATCTCATTAGCACCTAAGCTTTACGCACAGCCCATCTAGATACTTGACTCAGTAGTTCATCTAAAACTTCAGTCATACGGCTCTCTCAATTCAATATCAACGACCAAATAAAAACTAGCACAATTTAATCAAGCAGATAAACTCCTGGACCACTAACAGATAGGCCTGCATCTCTTGTTAAGTTGATTGAATTTACTCCAGCTAAACTTTGTATATTGAATTCCCTTTTACGTGTGAATACACTTTAGATAAAATAACTTCTTGCTCGTAAATGTAGGATGTGTATTCTAAGCAAGCAGCGAAGCATTGTTTGGAAAGGTACACGCACATAGACTGAAATAAGCTCAAAAGTTCCATTAACATTATCGATGCCATATGTAGGGCCAGTATAACAAAAAATGTTCCTACATCATTGTCGTATCTCTAAACCTACCTTTTTATTTTCAGACTTCAGACAGTCTTCCATCCCTAGGCAGTCCGAGCGACTCGCTGCTCGATGAGGACCAAATGTCCACGTTCATGAATCTCCAAATGGATGATGAGACGGGTGACATGTCCCTAAGAGCGCCGTATATCCCTATGGACATCGCTGACGACCTTCCGTTGTTGATGTCCAATGACCTTATGTGGAGTAGCAACGAGAAAAAACAACTGCCTGACAGTAATTCCAGTTTAGCGCAGCTGCTATCAACGTCGATGAACAAGCATGGGCTCAAAGCGAATGATCATGGAGGTGGTGGGGGGTTGATCGTGCCTGAGGAGGACCTTGATAGGATGTTTGGTGATAAAAATGGTAAGTACTGGAATCTGCCGAAATTGAAACTTTTGCATTATGAAATTTAAAGCCATACGATTGGACTCGTTTGTCGAGCAAAATGACAAAGTGAAAGTTCGATGTTTTTTTTAAATTTGTCCAAGTAAATCAGGTTAAAAAAATGCATATGTTTATACTAATGGTGATGCCGCTTATGACATATATAATTACAATTAATTATACGAGTATTTAAAACGATTCGGGATGTAATAGAACAATGTGAGACTGGTTTTATGGGGTAGTGGAAGGTTATTTTGAATATTCATAACAGCCTATCAAAGAAATGCCAAAAGCATCGAGTTGAAAACATAAAAAGTTTTTGTTTGGTTATGGAAATTCTCCAATCACCCCTTTATTATATTGTTCGTTATAACGTGGCATTTCTATTCACTCATACGACACCTAGGTACCATAATACTTGTTTACCTTGATATACCTATGTTTCAAAAATACTGTTTATATCAAGTTAAGAGAAAAGTGTTAAACTATGGTTGCCGTTAGTGTAGCATATTATAATTTCATTTCAAAAGGAGGATCTTGGCAAAAAATTTGCTGTTGTGTGAACCTAAAATGTCCGGAGATGTCTTAACTTTCCAGCCCCAGCATAATTAGCTTGTATATGTAGATAAATACTGATCCATTTCACCCAAACATGGTGAAAAAAAAAGAATTGAACCTTTTATTTAGCTGCATAGTCTAGACGCAATGAGAAACATGTAGATACATAAGCACTTAAAACAGCTCGAAAAACTCTCGTAGGCGAATATGTTCTGGTTCAATTTAAAATATGAAACGTTCCATCTGAAAGTATAATTGCCTGAATACATGAATAAATGAACTGCTACTATATATGGTATATAAAGATGAGCCTGTCACGTTGCAAGTTTTATCTCAGTCAGTTTACATTTATGAGTAAATCCACTGGGCATATTACATTTGTGTTGGTTTCTAACTTGGTGTGTATTGATGACATTTGGCAATCATTGTGGAGTCTAGTCAACATTTTCATTACCATTATATTTTAGGATCTTTTTATGGCCATCTTAGAAATCAGTGTACCCAATGTACCGTGTTTGATTCATTTATAGTCACGAAGGACGAAACGTTTAGTCTACGGAGGAAATGTTAAAAATCCCTCAGCTACAATGTTGCCGAAAACGCGTTATTTGGGTAAATTGGGTGCGTGTATACTGAATTTCAAGTCAGTTTTTCATTAAGATCAACGACAGACCTCAAGAGCGCATTTTCTTATTCCAAATAGAGTATCGCTACCTACCTTTACAATCCTATGTTGCCGATAATCGAACTTGGGGTTAAAATATGTATTTGTAGTATACCGACGTTGAACAAAAAGAATTGTATTTTTTAAGCTACAAAGTTTAACGGCCCTTTGAAGATTTTTTTTTGAAATTCAGACTAAAACTCGTTTCTTAAGTAAACCGCGTCTGATCTCAATTTCTCGTTGAGATCGACAGGAGACCTCAAAAGACCTTTCATCGGGCAAATAGGGTTTTGCGACACTTCTTCAATGGTCATATTCAAAATCTGTCTTTTAAATTACTTCATTGTATCGAGTTCCGATCAGATGTAGGCACGGAGAACGAAATTGAAACTTTTGCATTGTGAAATTTAAAGCCATACGATTGGACTCGTTTGTCGTTTGTTCGATGTTTTTTTTAAATCTGTCCAACTAAATCAGGTTAAAAAAATGCGTATGTTTATACTAATGGTGATGCCGCTTATGACATATATAATGACAATTAATTATACGAGTATTTAAAACGATTCGGGATGTAATAGAACAATATGAGACTGGTTTTATGGGGCAGTGGAAGGTTATTTTGAATATTCATAACAGCCTATCAAAGAAGTGCCAAAAGCATTGAGTTGAAAACATAAAAAGTTTTTGTTTGGTAATGGAAATACTCCAATCACCCCTTTATGTTCGTTATAACGTGGCATTTCTATTCACTCATACGACGTTTTTGGCTTAGGTCATACGGAAGACTAGGAAAGAACAGACATATGTCTAATTCACTTTTGAAACTGAATTTTCTTCATTATTTTATTGAACTAATTTCATTCTTTTTTGTTTCAGAAAAAACGAAATCGTGGACGACACAGAACAACCTCAAAAACACATCTCTGAACAACCAGCGAAGTGAACGCCACCAAAACATTAAACGCAGCAGCCCATCCTCATACGACACTCAAAGTAAAAGGCCGAAGAACGAGCCTAAAGAAAAAATGTCCTCTGAGCTGCTCCAACAGCTCATGTTCAACAACCACAACAGGGGCAGGCCCAAAGGCAAAAGCAACTGGTTGTTGGACAGCGGCGGGCAAAAAGCGGCGTGCATCTCACAGCCTAGCGACAGCGTTCTCATGAACCTCCTTGTAAGTGGGTTCGACATTCGGGCAGGGTACATCTGCCTAGCGCCTACCAAGTCTAAGAGATGAACGGAGCCCGCGATTTGGGGCGTTTTAGTTTTTTTTTTTTCGTTCGTTTGACGGGTGGAACAGTGACGTGATACGTTTTTGTGCACGCAAAATTGTTTTTTATCCAAGGTACCTCTTCATATTCGGAAAGGAGATGTATTAACAGCAGAGTAATAGGAGGAACAACGACGATCAGGAGTTATCTTCAGTAATGCAGAAGGTTTCCTTTGTCTTGAGGTTGGAAGCCTAAGACACGATGAAGATTGCAGTGATTTCTTCCATCAAACGTGGGGTGAACGTCTACAAACAAGAAGATGCTAAAAAAATTGGAAAAAATACAGGAAGTTTGCTTGAAGAAGTGGAGCACGGTGGGAACCAACAATTGCTAAAGCAGCAGTTCTAGCTACAGTTTGGAAACCTCTATGGAGCAAACATAAGAGATTGTGCATAGCTGACAGTATCTGTGATTCTGTCGCGTTATAGCATGTGATCCAGTATTGCAATAATTTGATTTGACATTTCATATTTTTGAAAAAGAGGCGACCAGATAAATATAACAAATCGTTTATGGCGAATAATTAGAAACACTAGACGATATAGCTTTATTTTGAAATAAATGATTTGAGTTTAATAGGCTATTTGACACTTTTCTTAAATTTGTCTTAAAAAGTTAATCTTTGTTCAAATAAATTAATTCTATATTTTTTGAGACCTAAAAAGCCGCAAAACTTTAAAAATATATTTTTTTAAGAGAGGCTAATACGCTGTCCGCCATGTTTGGGCCATGGAATAATGTGCTGTGACGTCATACTATTTGTAAACAGCAGCATCACATCTCAAACTTTTAAACATATACTCCTACTAGTTTACATGAAAAATTTAATAATGATCGTCATTGTATCGTCCGAGATTGTAGAAAACACTTTGATAAAGACCCTAGGAAGGCTGTGCCCAGGGAAATGATATACGTGGCTAAGAATTGCTCAAAGGGATCCTGGATCTTTATCCACTGTAACTCAAAATTGTTTTTCCGAAGATCACGTTCATTGTAATATTAGATAAAATTATTCCGAGGTTATGATGCATAACCTTAGTTTAGAATGAGTTCAGAAAAGAAAGATTATGTAAATGTATTACTTATTCCTTCTTCTTCTTCCATTATATCAGATGCATTATACTTTCACAGAAATCTTGAAGTTCCTCGGCTGAGCCGAGCAAGAACGTGGGCTGAAGTCACATCATGGCCAATAGCGTTTTCAACAAATTAAAAATAAAAAATATATTATTTTAAATTGGACTTAAATATACATCCTGCACTTTTAAAAATTGAAATTGATGTATTTCGTTTTCCTAAGCCAATAAGAAGCACCCACTTATTCTATGAAATTGGATATCAGCCAAGTAGCCTATTGACATGTTCACCTACAGTAGCGGACAAAAATTCTGAAACATTCTTAGTAATTTTCAAAAGGTGTGCTAATTTTTTATTCTTTACTATTGAGGACTATTTTTTCTCATATAGTTAGCTTACAGTCTTGAGGATACAAATGACAATTTGTGTTTGCTGTGGTACTGCAGACTACCACTGGACGCCTACCAAAAAGCCTAAAATCCACCAAGCGCACCCTATTCTACGATTCTTTTGAAAATCTGTGTGGCTGGCATTCGAGGATCTTCATGGGACAAACGTTTAATGAGCGATCCAAAACATCTTTTGAAAATTCTTTTACATTTGCCATTCTCACTGATGTTAATATTTACCGCACGTAATATCAGAGTATCGCAGAATGAATAAATACGACAAAACTGAAACTTTTGTCGTTACAAGAACTGTGGTATTTGAAAAAAAAACTCGTGTATAGGCTTTAATATGTAAATTATCCGTTCCTTCACAATTTTAATTTAGGTATATGAAATAGTTCATAATAATGTTAATATTTGTTTCCAAACATTTGTCCGCTACTGTATGCATGCAGTGCTTTTCAGAAAGCCTTTTGAACGGCGGAAATTCGGAATACTAGGAAAAATGGCAATTGAAAACTTCGTAACATGTTTTAACGGATTAATGGGCCATGTGATGCCTTCTTGTGAAGCTCATTGTGGTTACTTCATAGTGCTGGAATATAAATCTTTATCTATCTTCCAAAATGGCCAACTGGCAACGAACGAAAAAAACTAGCAGAGGCCCAAACTGAGCGTTTTCATAAATTGAGTCGACACCTAATTATCAAAACGTTATTACTATGCCAATTTTCTTCTTTTGAAGGTTCTACCTGATTGTTCGCGTTAACCCACTTCAATGTACAAAAACGCATAAATTTAATATGATTTTATATTCATATAAGTTTCAAAATGAGATATCATACGATTCCCATTCCATTTAAAAAATGTTGCGCGTCTGTCGTCTTGGAATTCAGCTGCCAATTTTTCGCTTAAATATGGTGTTCATGCATTCATTTCAGCTTGCTAAATTGACGCGTTAAAAAAATAAGCAGCGGAGGAGAATTTTTTGAAAAGCAGTGATGTTTTGAATGAATCTTCTGAAAAAATGTACTACATATATGTTTTACGATTAAAACGTAGTAGTCAAAACAAACAGTTGATGATAGAATGGCAATATTTTCCTGTATGAAATCATATCATCTCATGTCTACTTTCGAGCAATTACAGCAAAAGATTACTATTTTTCAATACAAACATATCTGAATGTATGTTAAAGCAAGGTTCAGAAGATCGCCTAACACCATGACTGGGAAAGTTCCATACTATATCCTCTAATTAATCATTTATGGTCCGCTGGCTAATAGCGTGCGTTGCTGCTTATTTTGCCGAGGAGTGAATGTGAGTTGAATTTTTTTTTTTTTTTTTTTTTTAACGAGGGGGGAATGCATTTACGCACCATACCATAGCACGAGCTACGACGTGTGTGGGGCTCCAGGGTCTTGAAGAGATCACCTAATACCCACTAAACCCTAAACCTCCGCGTGGCCCGACTCATCAGCGTCTCGGTAGGCCATGTGTTGTGCGTGACCTGCGGTCTGCTACAACGTCTCCTCATGTGTTTCAGTCTCTGGGAACGCCGGGTTGGTTCCCTTTACCTCGCACATTCTATCGATGTCGTTAAGCGATCATCGATAGAGGGTCTGCTAGTTTCTCTTGAAACTCTTGTTTTCGAAAAATCAAGAGTTTCAAGTCATCTTACCAATATGTTGTTCCTGGTCCTGGTCCTGAAGGGTCCTGGTCCTGGTGGGTCCTGGTCGTGGCGGGTCCTGGTTGGTCCTGGTCCCGGTGGGTCCTGGTCCCGGTGGTTCCTGGTCCTCTGCATCCAGTGAGTTGAATACCATATGGCGGCATTTTTATTGTCAGCATTAAACAGAATGGAACCTGTCACATTATTGTACCAGCTATATTGTCTAGTGCGTTGTTTCATATTTCTAAATCCATAGTAACATTCAGTGAATCTGAAGAGGATCCTTAGCTTTCTTTTCCTTAGAAGGGTAGTATTAGTGAAAGAGCGTACGTAGATAATTGTATGTATGAGAAAAAAAAATGTTGCTGATTGTGAGTGTGAATTGAATAAAAATGTAATCTAGTCTTTTTTAGTTAAAAAATAGCCTCACATTTGTGAAGAGCAGCATCTACGGAGAGTAGAGGACTTGTATTGATTTAGTAAGCTTCAGATTTTTATTGAAAAAAAAATTATAAATATCCGTGAATTTGATTAACTTTCAGTTCATTTAACCAAAATGTTTCAATAATTTGACATATGGTAACATGTATGCAATATGTTCGTTAGGCATGAAATATGATCTAATAATCCACCAATTCTTTACCGAAGTTTATTTAAATACCAACGCAAATCTGTATGATTTCTCCAGAGATCTGACGAAGATAAAATTTTGAGAGTTATGAGACGATATCTGACAACTTTGAAGTTATTACGTATATTCTAAAATACCTGGCCGAATTATATGTGCAAAGCAAAACAAGCTACTTACGCGTTAAATATTGAAACACGAAAAAAAAACTTAATATTGTTGATGTATGTGATATTTAATATAGCTCCTGAACTTTGTGTTGTATCTGTTAAAATTTTGTGAAATCAGTTAAATATTTCAACCAGATGTAGTAATATTAAAGTATAGATTCCTATTAATCATATAGTAATCATATATTTATCGAAATCACAGTACAATAGTTCAGGGAATTAAGATAGATGAAACTGCCACTAATTCCTAAATACCTACATCATCAAATTTCCAATTGTTTCGAATGTTCCTATTAACGAAACTAAAATGGAAGCTTGAACATTTTCTTAATGTAAGAGAACGAAATACGTTTTATAATTCATTCGTTGTAATAGAATCATAATTTTTAAAAATGAGCAATAAAACCAGATTCATAAATCATTTAATCATATCTGATTACGCGATTATTCGTAGCGTGAGATTCATTTTTTTTGATAAAGTTGCTAATTTTTTAATGCTCTCTGTTTAGACATTCCTGCTTCCCTGCAATATAAAATTATTAGGAATCGCATTGATTATATGCCAAAAAAGGTTTTTCTGGTCACATCTTGACATGCTGGGAGCTGGAAGCAAGAATAAACATAATTTCTGTTCACTTTAAAATTATATAAGCAACACTAAGTGTACATCTGAGTTGTTCATAGAGTAATTTTTAAATTATGTGGTGCAGGGCAGCTCAACCAGGATATAACATAATAAGAATTCAGGCTGGATAAGATCTGCTAGCTTTCAGCCTGTGTGACCATAACTATATACAGCGTTGTTTCATGCTTCTTAGCAATTATTGGTATGGTATAGGTCTAGCCATTGAAGAAAGATAGGCGTTTGGCAAATTACTGTAAAAAATTATAACCTATATTTTAATATTTGCATCATACTTGACGGTACACGGGACGAGCATCTTCTGTGCCAATGTTATAACAGATCAATTGAGTGTCTTGTTTATTTTATAGAATGTTGTTTTCTGGTTGTGCTACCTTGTACAGAAGTAGGGTAGTAAAATAAACATTTTTGAAAATGTTCAAAAAATGGCTGAATTATAAATCAGCATGGATCTGGGAAACTTCTTTGTACCGCATTTTTCACTGATATCGTATAAACATTTCCATAAATGTATTGATAATATAAAAACTCATTTTGACAACATCCTCCTTTGTCTTCTCAAACTCCCGTTTCCCAATTCGATCTTATTTTCAAATCAAAACCTTTGATAAGGCATGCGTTTACAAGTTGTTTTCCAGGGTTTCCGAGAATACCGAAAGGACATCATGGTAACGATTCAAATAATTTTGTACATATCTTTTTATATTGGATATGAATATTTTTTATTTACGTAATGTGGATCGTTTTAATATCCAATATGTATTTTAAAAATCAGTTTGTTTGATTTTAACATCATAGTTTTATTGTGATATTAGTTAAAATACTCAGTGAATTATTTTTAGATATTTATATGAACGAATATAAGTAAGCAATTTGCTAGAACAGGCATGTATTTGTGCATGCACGAAGACTAACGTTTAGCACAAAACTGATGCACAAATGCATTCCTGAAACTCGTTTACAGATAGAATTACTTAGTGTTTGTAGAAAATATCCACGTTACTCTGTGCTCATTATAGTAGGGAGCTGATTATATGCTCATCTACATACGTTATTTTTACTATGTAAATGGACTTGTATGTGTATAGAAATTATAAGTATGTGTTTGTAACACTGCCATTGTTCTAAAATATGAAAAGCGTATATATATATAGATTAATTATTCTAGCAGAAGTATTCTTGAAAGTCATCAATTTTTGTATATCTTAGAAATTCAAGCCGCTTGAAATATTGACCATTTCAATAAAATTTGATATCTGCTCCAGACAAAACTGGTTTTGGAAAGTATTCCATTTGTTTGGAATAATGATCTATGAAAGTTGTTTTCATCTGGACTTTTTCACTTCTCTGCTTGCTAGATAATTCTATAACTTTTAAATGTTAATATTTAGGAAATGAATATTACTGTAATTTTAATAAAAAATATGTCTATCAGTGAAGCAGCAAAATAATATAGGCTGTAAAAATTATTGAGCGAAATGAGATAGCTAAGGAAAATTTTTACAATATGAAGAGAGATTATTTGAAGCTATAGACTGAAGTTGATAATGTGTAGATATATTTTCGAATGTGTTATGCGTCAGAGCACTGTTGGAACAGTTATATGGAATTTTAAAAAAAATGAGCATAGGTACTTGGAAGAAAAAGTCTGTTAAATTTTATTTATGATTCTATAAAAGCCTATATTCAACAAAAGATGTTGTGAAGCGAATAAAGCAATTCCAAATTATAGTGTTTGGTTATTTACCCATAAATTATATATACATACACTCCCGACACATCATTTCCTACCATTAACCTTTCACACCACATCTTTTATATTTTCGAGAATTGATGCAATTTTTAATAACTTCGTTAGACACTAAATTCATTTTTTCCTCCAAATTATTTGACATCATGAATGGACAACTTTATGAATTCACGCAATTGGAATGACAAAATCATTTTTTTCTAAAAATCCAAATATTTTTTCTATAACACACACGATTCTAGTGATCCTCAAACTCCCCCCTCATGGTTCTCAAATGATGCTGATGTATAAAAATGGTTCAATAAACCATGGTCAGCGACATCGCCGAATCTAAACTGCATTGATTCTTTTATGCTGGTGCATGTTGGCCCATCCTATGATGTCCAAATGCGGCCCCCAAATATTTGTGGTGATACAACAAACCTACAACTAGAACTATACCACAATGTTAAATACAATGCACAAGTGACGAAAGCCTCTGTGTGACAGTAGCTGTTAGGTATCATTTAAATTGCTCTGAATGACCTACCGTGACGACGCAGGAAAAGAGCCATATTGGTTCGTTGCGTTTTAAAAATGCAGCAACATTCCTGATTTTTTGCCATTGCTCGCTAGCATTACCTTGATACGTTCTCGATTTGGGTTGTACAATGTCCATGTCTATTTATCTTGAACTATTCTGAGAATGGTATTTTTAAGTTTCGAATATAAACATATTGGACTTATATTATACTCTGATCCTTTTTAATCTGATAAACGCACTGAATATGACGAATAACCAATTTATTGACCGTGCCTTTAAAAATGCACAACCATCACCCTAGATGTACTTTCTCATATTAAGTGATATCTTCGAAGTCAATACCAGGTTGAAAGAAAGAAAAGTGAAGAGCATAAACCTCATCCTCACCTTCATCCAGTTGTTTACCTATTCCCTTCTATGGTCTAACCATATCCATATCAGCCTCTCCGAAACATGTTTTTACAACTGCAGAGAGGCCAGTAAATTAGTAAGCTCGGGTTTACAATGGTAAGTCGGACCAGCGAATTCAAATAGATTAGAAGGAGCTAAGTCTGTATGTTTACATTGCATTGTTTGTCGCCAAAATTGCGTAGTTTTAATGCATACTTTTGACTCATTTGTATACCAATGCCTACCAAAGTGTCAGCGTTGTATCAACATCATAATACTTGCAGGTGCAAATTATATAAGACGTACCATGTCTTGAAATCACACACACACATATCTACAAACATTGACACTATTAAAAAGTAACACTACAATTACGTATCTAATGACTGTAAAAAAAATTGATTTATATCAAGTGCACTTTGATACTCACTGGAGTCTATGAGAATTAAGAGACAAACAAATCCTTGACTGGCTCCTTCTACCTAGTCCAAATTTGTTGAGTCGGACAGATGTTTTCAATACTTCAAGATCACTATATTCATAAAAGATTTCTGGCTGAAGCCCTGAGATCATTTCAAAAAGAAATGGCAGGTCTCCCTTTCATTATTTCATTGAAAAAGAAAAGTATGTAAGTAGCTATTCGTTTGAGATGATATCATGATCCATTTTTTGGTGTTTTATTATCGTTTTTTGACAATTCACCTTATCTCTTAGACTTGGTATTATAATATTTGCATGAAATTAGTCACTGGTATACTTGTAAGTAGCAAAAACTGCATGTATTCGTCCAATAATACTATTATTCTGATTTACATAGTTGTTCATGTAATGCAAACTCTGAACAACATCTCGGAGAGTTTACCAAATTTTTGCATAAAGTAATCGATGAGAAATTTCACGAAAGAAACCGAATTTTCACAAAATGGTTTTTGCTTCTGCCTGACTTTATTGGATTTCAAAATAAAAAGTACATAAACATTTCCACTTTTTCTGCTCTACAAGACGCCGTAATACGAATTTCAAAATGACGTTTCGCCTGTTCATCAACTTTGTTTTTTCTTATAGGCGCCATATTAGACTTATGCACAGGCGGATGAAGTTTTTGAAGCCTATTTCGAAAAGGTATAATGTCATAGATTGACTTTGAAATATCTAAATTATTTAAAAGAAACTAATATTCTCATAGGTGGTTTTCAAAGTGACAGTTTATCACATATTTATCGTATTAAATCACCAATGCTTCAAAGTTTCAAATGCGTCTTTAAAAAACATTGAGTAATTTACCGATTTATCGAATATAACGTTCTCCATAACACGTCAGCTGTATATATTATTTGAATACGAGATATATCCTACAGTTTTATGGCAGATATAAAATTCGCTTAGGTAGATTCTTCATCGTCGAGGCTTTCATTCACTCCAAAATGTTTAAATCATTTACATAAAATAATACTGTTTTTTCAATATGAACTTTAAATAAGAAAAAAACTTTAGCGTTAGGTTGTTCTTTATTTGACGAGTTGAGACCTACTATACGAAGATTAGTTTTTCAAACATTTGAGGTTTTATGATATTAATCCATACTGGAAATAGAATCGTTTACTTATTCCCAGTTCGGAAAAACTGAAGAAATGCTTGGCTGATATGAAACAAATGATCTGATAATTTCAAGGTCTGTTTTTTTTTAACAACTAAGGTTTGGCATTGTCAATGTATGCAATCAGAATCAAAAACTCACATATGGCGTGAATAAGAAAAAATTAAGTTGATCGAGGACAATTGAAATTCTAATTATATCGTCATGTAGAGGAGTAAAAGTGGCAGTATTAATCCAGCTTAAATAAAGTCAGGAAAAAATAAAAACGATTGCGGAAAAATTCTGTTTCTTTCGTCTATCTCCGAAAAGTTTCTAAGTGCCATTTTCTTAGTAACTAAAACTACGCAACTTTGCCTCCATTTAACCGTTTCTCTCGCCATTCCCGAGATCCCAGCGGTGAGAGTCGAATTTGAAAAACCCAGTAAAGTAATAATTCATAACCCAACATGCAGTTGATGCTTAAATCAGCTGCCTAAAACAATATGACAAGAGGTTTGCCGTATGGTTTGGCGGTGCAGTGCCAAAGTACTTTTTTTTAATCATAGCCGTTCTTAATACAAAATCATCCATGTCTCTTTTCAATGTTTGCTTACCAAGTTTAAAGCATGGCATACCCGGAGGTCAATTCTTGAAATGGGAGTAGAATCACTGATAGGAAGTGTACGTGGTTCTTCTACCTTTCTGGGAACTACACACTGATAAAATAGTCGCTAGGAAAAGTGCGAAAGTTGACTTTTTGGTGGAACCACAGATGAAACGTTTAATGATATAAACCTAGAAAGATGTTTTGCCGAAATTGGATACATCCACAAACATGTTTGATAAACGTCACTATCGGTCAGAATTTGGGAATATTCACTCAAGAATTGACCCCATTAAGGTAGCCAAAAAAATAAACCAAGGCACTTTGGTGAAATATCGTTTTAGTTGTCCGATAAACAGTTGATTGAGCAAAGCTGCTATGATAACACCCCCACTAAACTCTTATGAATTTTCCAGGACAGAACGTTCAGCTCAGCAATGCCTAAACCTCGCGTCACGCCCGGGGACCTCGTCATGAGACAAAAGAAGAAGAGGAAGCTAGAACTGGAACGGGACAAAAGGAACGTGATGCGTAAGAACTCGCTATCTCTATTGGAACCGGAGGCAAACTCTTTAGCCTCTTTCATGGACTTGACGCAACACGATTACGAAGTTAACGCTCCTGTCAACGATTATTTGTTGCAAGGGGAGGAACTACTCACAGCTCTCGACATCAACTCTGCTATATAGCTACAGGGGACGGCACCTGGAGGGTGCTGCTGTCCAGTCACGCTGAGGGAGTACTTGTGTAGGGATATAATATGATATGTAAGATAGGTCACTAACTGCGCAGGGTTTGTTAAAACTATGGAAAATGTCACGAGAAGATATTTAGATGAACTTGTGGAATTGTAAACAGGTAACACACGTGCGTTGAGGGAGATTGCCATAAAAAAGATGGTATTTTAAGTCTCATGTACGCACGTACTTCATAAAACTGCAGTATAAAAAGATGGCGAAATAAAAACCATTTAGTAAAGAAATGTCGAAGAATGCGGGTAACATTAAAATCCCAGTATGCGACATTTGTGATTGTCAAAAATCCCCATCGTTTTGCTTATTTATAAGCTCGGTGAGTGTAAAAAACTTTTATGAACAATCCGATTGGCAGATGTATATTTTCGGAAAATATTTACCTTGCTTTGCCAAATCCTGTGAACTTGATAATACCCATATACAAAAAATATATTGTGGACAATGAGTTGATTGTTCGTACGGAGCAGTGTCTCAAATCTCATTCTACGTCTTTATTCTTTATTTTGTTTTAGCTATCATTGAAAATATATTTGCATATACGAAAATTAATGCATATTGTGATGGAAATATTTGATTTTAGAATTTGAAAACCTTGAAGTGCTAGTCTAGTTTAAAACACTTTTCAAATGATTTGGCATTTTATTTTTAGCAATAAGTGCAATAAATTATACATGTATATATGCCCCTTAATATTATATTCTAAATTCTGCACCCTGTGGCTATATAACAGTAAGTATATCCAATAAAATCATTCATGTTGCCAAATATGAATCGTGCTAACTTGAACATATGTGCAAATTATTCACTATTTTTGTAAATAAAAACATGCAAAGTTTGAAGGCGCCTTTGTATTTATGTTATGATAAAATTGATGGTGGTGTTTATTATACACGAATGATAGTGTACACAATTTATATTTAGCGTTTAGTATTAAGTTGTTTATTATTGTCAAAAATATAATGAAAACGCTTTGGATCATAAAATCGTTTGTAACATTTCCACATGATCCAAGCAATGACAAAAAGTACTGTACATATAATTCATGCATCACCTTCAAATTAAATATGAAAATTTTATGTTGTTTATATTATATGTTGCTAAATTATATCATGCCTGATACTTGTATTAAAAGA